AAGTTAATAAATTACTATCTTGTAGAAAATGGAATATTAAAAAAGCAAACTGGGATATATATTGTATGGAGTTTCAAGAACTGATATTTAAAGATATTCAATTATTACTCTCCAATGACCAGTCAACATCAGCTTTATTTTTAGACATAAAAGGGGCATATGACAATGTGAAATTAGACATATTATATTAAAAAATGTGTCAAATGGGAATTCCCCAAAGTCTGTCTATACACTTATATACTATATACAGTAATAGAAATCTATTTTTCAGAGAAAACCACTTATTCTATGAATGCAGATAATCATCTATGGGTTTGCCACAAGGTGGTATATTCAGTCCTACACTTTATATTATTTACTCAAGTGATCTAGTTGTTGACATCCCACATAATATATCTATTTTGCAATATGCTGATGATATTGTTATTTACACACGCCACAAATCCATCGAGATATGCCACAAACAACTCAATTATGCAATAAGAAATTTAGATAATTGGATTTTCAACAACGGCTTAATAATTTACGAAGAAAAATCAGTATTAGTTACTTTTACAAGAAAAAGATATCGGTGTCCTCAACAAATAAAATTATCAAAATATTTGTTTCCTTACAAATCTTTCACTAAACTTTTAGGAGTAATTTTAGATTGTAAATTAAATTGGAAGGAACACATAAATTATATAATCAAAAGAACAGAAAATAGTGTTAATTTATTAAAAACATTCGGTCATTCCTCCTAGGGAGGGGATCCAAAAATACTGTTAATATTTTATAGAACACTCGTTAGATATATTTTAGATTACGAAACTATATTTTATCATTCAGCAGCAGAGACAAATTTTATAAAAATAGATAAAATAAAAAAAAATGCCTTCGACTCTGTATTGGATACTTGGGAAGTATGCCTATATACGTTATGGAAACAGAAACATGCGAACTGCCATTGAATCTTCGGAGAAGATTTCTATCTGACAAATTCGTGTTAAAGTTAAGAAGTCAGAAATCCAAGTTACTGGTTAAAGTATTTAGTTTAGCTGGTTTGGTTTTAACATCTAAATATTGGGATAAGAAAAAAATACCATTATTAGTTGAAAGTTTCATTACCAATGCTCACGGAAATGAAGAACTTTATAAATCCAATGGAATCCCTTTATGGAATTATTCTTATGAAATGTTTCTTTCTCCAGTTTAGACACATATTAACGCTCGCTATTTGTGTCAAAACAATATTATTATACAAAAAGAATATTATCGAGATTGTATAGTAAAATGGAAACAGTATGAAAAAGTTTATACTGATGGATCCATGGACGTATAAACATAGATGGACACAGCAATAAGATACCTTTAACACACAATGTTTTGAAGCTTCGATAGAATGTGATGCTTCCGCAATGAGTGTAAGCGTGCTTGAATTTTTACTCGCGGGTAATTATTCAGATTTTAAAAATTGGAAGTACCTAGTAATATTGTATAAAAACACGTTCAAAGAATTAAAAAAAACGAGAATTTAACTATTAACAAATCACGTCTTTATAGAAAAATTAAAATACAATTTTATTATATCTTATTGAATACATTAATGAACATGAATAAACCCAATGGTACGCCTATTAAAATGTAAACAAACACGCTTTTTCATTTCCTCATCCTAAATAATGTAAATTTTACGTACTTACAAATGAAATGAAAGACCGGGATGTAAATATTTCGTTTATTTTATTTCACTTTTCACAAATATCACTTAAAATACAGCCAAAATTATCTAAAAACAATTTTTCCTTATTTCCTCAATCGTTGTAAACAAACATGGAATAGCATTTGAAGTTTGACGTAGAACCGTAAAACAGAGAAATGTAAACAACCGTTGCCATTTATAAATAGTTTTCAGTGCTTCTAAATATAAAATAATTTATTGATATCTATTATACGCTATTATTAAATGATAATGCACACTATGTGCACACTTGATATTTTGATTACAATTAGATATATTAATATAACCAATAAATTATTATTTTGGTTTGATAGCACCTGTAGAGTATAAAATACGGAGTAATATTTTCAGCGACTCGCGAATAAGAATTTTTAATAAAAAAACGTGACAACAGTTGGAGGTGCTGAGAATGTGACATATTCAAATAATTTTGACTTCACAATTTTATGTAAATAACTGAGTCCATCTGTGTTTATACGTCCATGGATGGATCTAAATCGGAACATGGAGTTGGCTGTGCAGTTTATTATACTTCCAAAAATATCAAACTAATATAAAAACTGTCAGATATGATGTCAATTTTCAGTGCTGAGCTTATTGCCATAAAATTAGCAATTAATCTGTGTTTAGAACAAGAAGAGGATAAATTTGTCATATTTACAAACTCTAAAAGTTCGGTAGAAAAACTTAATAATCTGTTTTTAAATCCTAATTTAAATTATATTCTTCTTGATATTTTAGAATTGTATCAAAAAGTATCAAGTGGAGGAAAACAAATTTATATATCATGGATAAAAGCCCATTCCCGTATAGAAGAAAATGAAGAAGTGGACTATTTAGCAAAAGATGGTGCGAAAAATGGAAGACTACTTAGATTAAAAATATCAGAGTCTGATTTTATTCCAATTTTTCAAAAGAAACTTAAGGAAAAGTGGCAGATAAAATATAAATGTGGAGACAAAGGACAGTTTTTTAAAAATATACAACAAAAAACAAACCATGATTTGGGAATACACGTAATCGTTCAATTATTCGGATAATAAGTCGAATGCGCTGCAATCATGCACTATTTCCAGCGTAAAAACATAAAATAGGTTTGTTAGATAATAATAAGTGTATGTGATGAAATTGCCGATTTACAACATATTCTTTTAGAATGTCCTTTAAAAAAAAAATAGAAATTAATAAGTTTTATCAAAATTTAATATTGTACAAAATGAAATTTCCAATAAATATTTCAAATCTATTGACATTGATATATGAATAAATTTGTAAGCATAAAACGAAAAAAAAACAAAAAAAAAACAAAAAAAAAAAACAAAAAACAAAAAAAAACAAAAAAAAAACAATATGAAAAAAAAGCCAAAAAAAAGCAAACCAATAAATAAATAATATTAAACAATAAAAAATATTACTAATAAAAATAAATAAACAATAAAAATAAAAGAAAAGTTACAATGGCATATAGACTGATATAAAAAAACAATAAAAATAAAAATAAGTAACGAAAATATTTAGGCATTTACTAACACACTAAAAATATTCTTTAACTTGTATATAATATTAATATGTATATAATGTAAACAATGGAAATGGATGATAAAACTATGAGAATGATAAAACTATGATGACTGGCTTTTTGGCTTTGCCAGTACCATTAACTTGTGTAAACAGTGCCTAAAAAAATTAAAACAAGTGTAAAAATAATATCGAAAACTTTTGATAAAACTTTAATTAAAAGTGAATTTTTTTGTTTCTTGGTTTTTAAAGGTACTACAAATAGTACGGTTAAATATTTAAAAAGTTTAAATTATGCTACAACCTATTTTGTTACGCTTAATTAAGGTGAGAGAGATACTATCTTGTTATCAGGAAAATTATCTATCTCATAATCTAATCACTTTAAGTCAAAGGTATTATACATTTTTAAAATCAGTTCAAAAAGTAGAATCCAAATATAACATAAAAAAAGAGGCAGTAAAAAAAATAAAGGGTTGATACAGAAGTGAGAGGGTGCATTTCCCAGCAACCTTAAATATGATATAATGTCTGCCCCTTCAATTATTAATTGACGTATTTTTGAGTTTTTCCAAAAAATTTGGGGTTCAAAAGTTATTTAAGGTAGATAGTTATATCTGAAAAACACTGTACATACCATATTTTGACAATACTATGTCACTATATAGTACAGTTTATATAACGAATCATATGAAAATACTAGGCTAGACTAGGCTTGAGTACCTCGGCCACGTGATGCGGAACGAAGAAAAATGTCGAATTCTTTAACTCGTTATGCAGGGTAAAGTATTTGGCAGAATAGGACCGGGACGCCGTCGTATCTCGTGGTTGAAAAATCTCCGACAATGGTTTGGGATAACCTCAGCGGAGCTGTTTCGCAGAGCAGTCAACAAAACCATGATAGCCTTGATGATCGCCAATATCCGGACCGGATAAGGCACTGACGAAGAAGAAGAAGGCTAGATTTAGAGGTGGTAAATCAACAATTTATCAAAATGCAACCATGAGACAAATTTTAGAAAAAAAAAAACTGGATATGGTATAGATACTCATCACATATTTATAGACTACAAAGCAGCCTACGACTCTGTAAATAGAGGAGAAATATTCAAATAAATGAAAGAGCTAAGATTGCCAAATCAGTTTATAAATTTAACAAAACTGTATTGAACTGTGAAAATGTAAAATGTACGCTATGAATCCAAGGGGAACTATCTGTGCCTTCTAAACCAAATAAAAGGCTGCAAGCAAAACCGTTTGTCCTTAAAAATGGCTTTTTGTAACAATTAGTGCAAATCCTTGTATCGGCTGCATTACTACTTGTATACGACAGACGGCTTTAGAAAAGCACTCTGCATTGAGGGCGTCTCTTAAAAAAAAGAGGTTGTCATAATTACCAAGGAATTATATAATTTACATGGGAAGTTTAAGGTTGCCTTTAAGTTCTGTAAATTACGTTTTTGATAGCTTCTACATTAAAAGGGTATAGTTACCGTATTTCGATGCACTCTTGCCTCACCCTATATATGTTGCTTTCACTAACTGAGATTTAAAATAGAGCTATTTAGTTCAAATAAGTTAAATAACTTTGCGGATGAACCTACAAATTGTCCACCACCAATATTGAAAAGCATGGCTAATAAGACTATTTTTGATTATCACATATGTTCACATTATTTTCCACTACAAATATTGAAAAGCATGGCTAATAAGACTCTTTTTAATTATCACATATGTTCACATTTATTTAAAATATACTCACCATATATTAAAAAATATATATAAAATATTTTATACACTACTCCAAAATCTTTCATACTGCTTTTCTACACTAATAAATATTTGCCTTGCAGTTAATATATTAAAAGTATATATAGTCGAGATAAGAAATCTGCTGTTAATTGCTAAAAATTTAAATACTATAATTAATGATTTTAAACTTGACAAGTTTTCTGTAATTTATGTACTTTACTAAAGTGCATAATTACGTTAAACTTGGTACTGTATTTAAAAAGTCAAAATTGTAGTTGCGATAATTGTATATGTATATATATATATATATATATATATATATCTATATATATATATATATATATATATATATATATATATATATATATATATATAAGGTAACTGTACTTTTACCGACCACTTAAGGTTTTCCTGATAAGCAGATTCAATATCAATAAGCAATATTTATGTACAATTTCTTTAAAATGCCCCTTTAGTACAGTTACAAAAGGTTTTCACTCCGATTTCGTTGACAATCCATCGATTTTCATGAAAATTGGTGAGTAGTTAGAGGATACCTTAAGAAACAAAAGTGACAGTTATTTTCATAAAAATATGTCCAGAAATCGTTAGATGGACCAAATCTAAACAAAATTTATCTGATAAAGTTATTAAAATAATTCAATACTTTTTGAGTTATTGAAGATCAAAGATTCTGATTTTTCGTGAACAAAATGCATATTTTAAAGCGTTTTTTCATAAATAACTCAAAAATTATAAGTTTTTATAAAAAAATTATTATTATCAAAATTGAAGGTATTCAAAAACTAAATAAATTATTTGCTTGAACAACCTTTTTAATATTAATTCAAAGTGAGTTATAGGTAATTAAATGTATTTTTTTTTTTCGACGAGTACTCAAATCTGAATATTTAAGCTTAAATAATAGGAAAACAATACATTTTATATCATCGAATCAACAGTATATTACCAATTTTTTCAAAGCCAAAGAATTCGCCGAAAAAAATCCCATTTATCTGTTTGAAGCACAAAATAATTCATTAAACCATCCCATCACTTTTCAAGAGATAAACTCATCTATTCGTAACTTGAAGGACTCTAGTCCTGGGCCTGATGATATTCCTTTAGCATTTCTGAAACATCTCCCTGTTTCAGCCATAACGTATCTCTTAAACGTATTCAACAGAATTTGGCTTCACCACCAATGGCCAGCTATTTGGTCAAATGCAATAGTCATTCCTCTCCTAAAATCTAATAAACCTAAATATGACCCAGAATCATATCGACCCATATCTCTGACATCGACAACCTGCAAATTACTAGAAAATATTGTTAACTCCAGACTCTCATGGGTTTTAGAAAATTCCAATTTCTTAATCTTAGAGCAAAATGGCTTTAGAAAAGATCGGTCATCCATAGAAAACATTTTAGATTTGGAAAGTGAAATACATGAAGCTCTTTGCTAGAAACCAAAAACGTGTTGCTATATTTTTTGACTCAGAACGTGCATTTAATAAAGCTTGGAAATACAACATTTTAAGACAACTTCATAAATGGAATATTCAGGGTCACTGCCTTGCTTTCATTCAAAACTTTTTAAATACCAGATCTTTTCAAGTAAAAATAAATTATATTTTTTCAAATATTTATAGTTTAAATAATGGTACACCCTAAGGATCCATACTCAGTCCAACACTATTTCTGGTAGCAATAAACGGCATCATTAAAAACATTCAAGCACTCTTACAGGCTCGTTTATACGCTGATGACCTAGTGGTATCTATTAAAGGTAAAAATATTTCCTCAATGTCATCAATTCTTCAAAACTTTTTAGATACTCTCGAAAATTGGTCCAACTTTACAGGTTTTCAATTTTCAATAGAAAAATCAATAGATGTCGTATTCTCTTCAAGCTCCTTGCCACAACCTCCTAACCTAAGAATGTATGAGAAACAGCTGGAGTTTAGAGATCACCACAAATTCTTGGGTTTAATCTTCGATTAAAAGTTAACATGGAAAAATCACATCTCACAACTCATCCTTTCCTGTAATAAAAGATTAAACGTATTAAGATCTCTCTGTAATAAAAACTGGGGCTCAGACCAATCCACTCTACTCCTCCTGTATAAATCTTTAATACGTTCTAAGTTAGATTATAGAGCAATTGCCTATTCCACTGCTAATAAATCTCTACTGAAATCATTAGATATTATTCATAATAAAAGTCTTAGACTAATCTTAGGGGCTTTCCCAACTACACTTGTATCCAGCATTTATGCGCTTTTAGGAGAATCATCGCTACATCACCGCCGCATGTACCTCGCTCTATCACATGCAGCCTCAGTCGCTGGAAATATTTCAAAACCAATATATCAAAATACTTTTACAAATAAATATGTAAACTTATTCCAAGATATTCGCTATACTAAAAAACCATATTACGAAAGAATTAAATCCATTCTTCAAAACCTAAACATTAATTTTCCGGACGTTTTCTCCTCAGATATTAAATACCCCGAGCCTTGGCTGATTTATCAACTTGTGATGCATCTCTAGAGTATATAGATAAATCTAAGACACATCATTCTCTGATTCGGTCCAAGTTTAAATCCCTCATAAATAAGTACCCCGACTACCATAAAATCTACACAGATGCATCTAAATCCGAAGACGGAGTAGGGGCATCAATCGTTTCTTCAGAAAACAATCTTCTTTTCCGTTTACCCTCAGCATGCAGCACATATTCAACTGAACTCTACGCCATATACCGTGCTGTGAAACTTCTTAACGAGCTTACACTCACAAAAGCCCTTATCATAACAGATTCCCTTAGCTCTCTAAACTCATTAAAACACATTTTTCCAAAGTATCCTTTTAAAAAGTTGCTAAAATACCAGCTTTCCCAAGCTTATGAACATGGAAGACGCGTCCAATTTTTATGGGTTCCCTCACACGTTGGAATAACAGGAAATGAAGAAGCTGACAGGATTGCACGAGAGGCTATTTTAAGTGATTTGTCGGAGCCGATAGACAAGTGTATTTCCAGTGACTTAAAAGCTTATTTTAAAAATAAAGTGTTGTGTTTGTGGCGAAATGAGTGGTCTCGAACTAATTCCAATCTAAATAAAATTAAAAATAATGTGTCTCAGTGGTTTCCATTGTCGCGCAAAAGACGGGAACAAATTGCTGTTGCGCGTTTACATCTAGGACATACCAGATTAACGCACTCCTACCTTTTTACAAAGAATAATCCACCTATATGTGATCAGTGTAACGTCCGATTAACAGTCGAACACTTTTTAATAATTTGTAGTAAATATGACCAAGAAAGACAGCGCTACAAGATCCCAAACGCTATACCACAGGCTCTAGGTCAAAACTGTTCCTATGAAAATATAGTGAATTATCTCAGATCCATAAACATTTTGTACAATCTGTAGGTGTCTAACTTTGTTATTTATACTTTGTTCCGTCGCTAATAACCTTTTGGTGGATGCGACATCTTTTTCTAATAAAAAAAAATACATTTTATAAAATATATTTATTAAAAAAATTTTAATGTACTTAGAAATACCTATTAAATGAGCTCTAGAAGAATTGATAGCATCAAAATTAAGCAAGTTGTGATAAAAATAAGAGAACCCTTTCGAATTTTTTGGAAAAGGTGAAAAAAAACATGCACCCTTTCCAGAAAAATAAAAATTTATGGTAATCCCTAAGATTTTCTTTATTTTAGTATAAGTAATAACCTCAAGATTTTGCCCGGTTTAGAATGCATATTTTTGAAGAAAAAAATATGATTTAAAAAAATCAGAATTTTTCAAATTTTCATAAATTTCATTTTCTTTTGAGAGTAACTTTATATATACTTAATATACTTAAAAAATGATACATAACAAAATTTAAGGTTTTTGTTAACAAAGATTTTCCTTTGTTTATATTTTTGTAAGATAAAAAATAACTGAGATAAAAACGTTTAAAACCTAAATTTTACTGCGAGAACAATGTTACCGGGATCCTTTAACCTTTTATCTTTTAAAAAATAAGGGACCCAAAAAATTAAATTTAATATGACTTTATAGCGCTTAAAATTACCTTTCAAATGGTTTTTGAATGAACCTGATATCATAAAAATTAGCGAAGGTATTGTAAAAGAATCAATAACATTTTTTTAGAATAATTTTTGGAGCAATTTTGTATGTATATTTGTATTTCTTCTTCTTCTTAACATGCCATACACCAAAGTGCGTAGGCGACTATCTCATTACTAGAATTCTGTTCTTGGCGGCGTGACACAGCTCACCTGTATTGTGTATTCCTGTCCATTCTTTAATATTCCTTAACCAGGACAATTGTTTGCGGCCGGCTCCTCTCCTACCTTCGATCTTCCCTTGTAGGATTAACTGTGGTATTTCATATTTTGCTCCTCTCAATATGTGCCCAAGGTAACCAATCTTGCGTTTTTTAATTAATTCAAAGAGTTCTCTTTTCACGCCGGCTCTATTAAGGACGTCATCGTTTCGAACTCTATCCACCCAAGGTATGCGCATCATTCTTCTCAATGACCACATTTCAAATGCTTCAAGTTTGTTGATAGATGTTTTTTAGATGTTTTTTAGATGTTTTTTTGTACTATACTTTTTTGTACTACAAATACATATTTGTATTTATTTGTATGTATTTTGTATGCATTAGTGTATTTACACTATGAAAATATTATACCACTCTAGCACCCTCTTTGAATTATAAGCAACCCCTCGAAAATTTTAAATTACCAAGGGGGTCGTATGGCACATTGGTAGAAAGGGATTTTAGTCCTCTGTTCAGCAATGTAAAGTTTTTTAAGATTGCTGCAATCGTAACTGAAAAAATTTATTTTTAAAATGTAAAATTTTGATAATGTCTCTATCAAAAAATTTTAGGTTGAATGAAGATAATAATGTCACATAATATTTAAAATGTATTTTTCAATGTTCTTTACAATTAAATTAAATGTTTAAAATGTCCACTATTCACTTCTTGACGATACCGAAGGAGATTTTGGAATTCTCGTACAACATTTTGTACGAC